ATATAGATTGAAATAACACAACGCCAATATGGAGCGGCAGTACATGGATGCAATAAAAAACTCAAGTTCGAATACCTTGCAGGACTTTAATGAGAAATATAGAAGATGAAATAAACAAAATATCACAAACAGCAGTGTTCAGTATGTACAAAATTTTCAGCGAGGCTAGACCGGGATTCGAACCCAGGACCTCAGATTGATATACCATCGCTCTAACTGAACAAACTAGCTGGTCAATGGAAGTGTGCTGGCCAAACTGTGCTAAAGTAACATCAACACAGAAGTAGGGGAAATGGAACTGTACACAGGAAAACCACAATGCAGTGCGGTCCTTAAATCGGGTCATGTTGTGACAATCGTTATTAAATTGAGAAAACAATTAATTCATCTCCAAGAAACCTTTTCCCAAGTAGTCTAATCAATCGGGATACTTAAAACCATCTCGTAAATATATAAGTATAAAACAAACATTCCCTTAGTAGGGTTAGCTATGCGTATGTGATGCATTTGAACAAGTAAATGGGGAATGGGTCTACATTGACCACCAATTTATATCCGACCAGTGGACTGACTTCTGTGAAAACTTGCTATAAATACGATACTTTGAAATATGTTGCATGACAAATAAATGAATAGATAAAAAAAAACCCACTAAAGAATGAAAGAATAAGTTATTTCAAATGTCAACTAATTTGATCTCATATGTAGTTACTGACACTATGATTGATTATATACTGTTCAACACTGTATAAGGACAAGTTTTGCACAGGTTATGCCTGTTATTCAATTATTCTTGCACATGCAATGAGATATTCTTAAATGTACATTGTACAAGCCATTTAATTTTGACGACCGAGTTGTTATAACCAACAGACGTTTTCTCGTGTTGTTGATTCTTCATAACTACAACGTAAAAATGTATTTTTAGTTAAAACAGATTAGGTTATGAAGATTTTCTCCTTCTCTAAATCCATTTTTTGATCTATCAAACAACGATGTATATGTCGTTTATTCAAACTTTGTGGTCATTGTATTTAAACTGTTATAGCTCTTGGTCATACAAGTCACCACATGTTGTTATTTGGCTACTGTAAAAAACCTAGACATGAACCCACAAGCTAGTCTAGATTTAGTTCAATTATGTTTATCAAGTGCCTTGTGCCAGAGGGCTGACCACATTGCCATCTAATGATTCATGTGTGATAAGATATAGTATATGCATTAAAAAAAATCATCAGCAAATACCATGAAAGAAGAGTTTACATTTTCAGTTTAATTTTTTGCATGAACAATCTTTTAGATTTATCATAAAACTTTTAACTTGTTTTGTTTATTTGAAACACACAAATTTTAAATTTTAATTTGATTAGAATCATATACACTCAGAACAGATAATTAAGGTATTTCTGTATTCGATATCTAATTTATGGTTCAATAAAGATAACTATAAAAACATATTTTTTCGGAAGAGTAGTTTTATTTATGAGTATCTTTTTTTTATTTAAGATTAGATTTTTTATGCTGATAATAAAATGCATAAAGTTAATGCAGTGTTAAAATCATTGAAATCTGTTATTTTATGTGACTCGTGTGTTATTTGCTTAGAATGTAAGAAAGATTGATATTCGTTCCTTAATACTAACGAAGAAGAGTATTAAATATTTATAATAATATTCATAAAAATATAATTTGCTAACAAGGATAAAGGTGTCATTACATATAACGCATAACGCAGTAAAGGCCTACCATTCCGGATCACCTGGCCCTTCCTCAGATTGTTTTTGAGGTTTTCTTAAAGTCTCTCCTTATGCTTTGGTGTCTTATTGATTCATCTAATTGTTTTCGTTGTGTTTGGATATTGACTAATGCAATAACATCGCATATGTTTTGAATTGTACTGATGTTCAGAAGGCACTTACACAAATAGATGTAAAAAAAGCTTGTGGCTTGTTTGTTTTTGTTTGATTTTGTTTAACGTCCTATTAACAGCTAAGGTCATTTAAGGACGGCCTCCCCTGTGTGCAAGATGCATGCGTGTAGTGTATGTGTGTGTATTTTGGGAGGCTGCGATATGTTCGTGTTTGTCTTCTTGTAATAGCGCGGAACTGATGCCGACTTTATAGTGCTACCTCACTGAAACATACTGCCGAAGACACCCAGCAGGACGCCCCACCCGGTCACATTATACTGACAACGGGCGAACCAGTCGTCCCACTCCTAATTTGCTGAGCGTTAAGCAGGAGTAGAAACTACCATTTTTAAAGACTTTGGTATGTCTCGGCCAGGGGACAGAACCCAAAGCCTTCCTCACAGGGGCGAACGCTCAACAAATGGCCAAAAGTGAGGCATTGTCAAGGGAGACATTAGGAAAAAGAAAGTTATTTAGAAAGGAGAGAAGAGATAAGGTCCCAAATTTAGTCGCCTCTTACGATCATGCAATTGGGGGCAGCAGGTACAATTCTTACGCCCTACCTGCAGGGCAGCTTGTGGCTACGACAACATATCTGGCGTAGGTTTAAAGAGTGTGCTTATGAATTATGTGTACCACTGTGTAATATTTTTCACCCATTCATTGAAAGATGGTATCTTTCCAAGTATTTTTAAAAGGGCTAATGTTATTCCCATTTTTAAATCTGGTAAACGTAATGAAGTCTCTAATTACAGACCAGTATCTTTACCACCAATTATATCTAAAGTTTTCGAAAAACTGGTTGACGTACATTTTTCTATTTTTTTTTAAATCCGCTTTTCTGCCATGATAACATGGTTTTATGCCAAAAAGGTCTACTGTTTCAAACCTTGCATGTTTCACCGATCAGATTTCCAAAGCCTTTGATAAAAAAGTAGAATTACATGCTGTATATACTGATTTTTCAAAGGCCTTTGAAAAAGTAAACCACAGATTATTATTGCATAAGTTAAAATTGTATGGTGCAGAAGGTAGCATTTTAGATTGGTTTACTACTTATTTGAAAGATAGATTCCAGCGTGTTACTGTCAATGGGGCAACATCCGGTTGGTGTGATGTAACTTCCGGTGTGCCTCAAGGTTCGATACTTGGACCCAAACTTTTCCTTGATTTTATCAATGAACTGCCATCTATTGTGAAATTTTCTAAAACTCTTATGTTTGCCGACGACAGCGTAAGAACGTTGTCTGAGTTTGAGCAGCTACAGAGCGATAGAAATAGAGTGTATGATTGGTGCACTGTTTGGAAAATGAAAGTGAGTGTGAAGAAGGGCTGCCAGGTCATATTTATAAACAAAAAAGAAATGTATGAATTTTAATTACACTATGAACGGTGAGAACCTGAAGAATGAAATGTGTGTGAAAGATCTTGGTGTTTCGCTGACCTCTTCAATGAGTTTTAGTACCCACATTAGACGTATTGTTTCCAAATCAATGCGAATGCTCGGTTTTATAAAACGTACATGTAAAAGTTTTACACAAATACCTGTTTTAAGGTCTTTATATATACAAGTCTTTTCAGGAGTCAGTTAGAATACTGTTGTCAGATCTGGTCTCCTTACCAAACATCTTTAATTCACCAGGTCGAAGTTGTCCAGCGTAAATTTTTGATTTTTTTTATGTTTTAAGGCACACGTTGATTACAATTCCATGTCTTACGCTGACACTTGTAGGCATTTTAATCTTCATAGCCTCGAACATAGGGGGCATTTTTAGACTGTGTATTTCTTTACAAATGTGTTAATAGTGCTTTTGATTGTCCATATATAGTCAAGCAAATGTGTTTTTTAATCCCTGTTCGAAATCTACGATCAATTCGTTTCAACCAGTTTTACTGCCAGAGAAGCAGAATAAACGTTAGAAAGTATAGTATTTTAAACAGGATTCAATGTAATTTTAACTATCTTGCTTTGCACCAGACTGTGATATGTTTCGTTTCCCTCTCGCCGAGTTCAAAGTGCGGTTAAAGAATATTTGCTATCACTAATTCTTTTTGTTTTACATAAGAGTATCTTTTAGTCTGTGTTACATGCATAACTGACTGTGATATCTTATACTTGTGTTGTTATGTTGTTATCCATTATGTAAGTGAACCCTTGGGTCCGTTGAATTGGAAATAAATAAATTCATTATCGTACTGAAAAGGGTAATATTATTGTATTGTTCGCCAATTAAAGATTTCGTTTGATCTACTTGTATTATTCGAAATCAAACACTTACAGATTTCTAATGTTTGTTGACTCTACCATACTTTTCAGTGATAGACAAATACACGGCATGATGCCATGACGTTAATCCTTTAAATGCATCATTAACAATTTCACAACGGATTTCTACTTTCACAAACTTGACTAAAGAAACAGCGCATGCTTGGGCAGACAATTTGTTTAAGAAAATTATTCAGAGTTAATTATTTTTTGGTAAAACAATAAAGGATCTATAAAATATCAATTAAAAGTTTATTACCTTTATAAATCAAAACAATCTTTTTTTCATTTACAACGGGAGTGTCAGCATCACCTGACATCAATACAAATCACGCCTGACCGAGACCCGCTACGAATAATTCCTTCGTGGCGACATCGATGTCCCAGAGTAAATTAGCATATTCTTATGTCTTTTGATAATTGAGATAAGAGGCCACGAATGTGCACGGCCGCCGTGATATTTCAGTCGGAGTCCGGCGCCTTGATGTGTCAAGTGCGCTCATACGGTAACACCTTATCGTCACCCTTCGGAGACTTTGTTATAATGGCCGCTTATAAAACAAAGGCTTCACCTCGCCCTCTATGCTGACTCTATCTGGTGATATTACCGTGCTACCTGTACCGAGATCGCGTATCTGTACAGTGTAAGTGATGTTTCGGTATGCTCAGTAGCTCGTTTGTATGCTCTGTATGGTATAAACGTCAGCGAACCTGTCAGGCGTTGATAGATTATGTCATTTTGTGGCTCTGACCCTAGAACGGTGTTCACTATAGACATGACCCACCTCAACCATTAGTCAAGTGCTCGGAGTGCAGAGACGCGACTCGCAAACACAGTTATTCACTATTTACATCATGTAGGTGTATGTTTCTATTGTATCAGTGTGTCACCAGTCGAAAAGAGATCATGGAAATGTTTTGAGTGGAAGTGTGTTATTGTCTTAAAAAAAGAATAATATTCAAATATGTAGATTCTTAAGGATATTTAAAACAACGGCCGTTTTGTGTACAGGTTTTGAACATAGGATGATGCTGACTATGTGACGTATATGACCAAACATGGTCCGCCACCGCTTTCCGTGGTGTTTGGAGTCTACATGTCCATCTGTCATCGCTACTTTGACTTTAGGCTTATTGATTCCAAATGTATTGTCACAAACAAATTTTGAATCTAGACCTCTTTGGGGAACTGGTAGAGGCCGGCCAGCGGGAAAAACGTGTCTCAATTATTGTCAACTATTGCCAATATGTAACCACGGAAAGTGTTTTCTCGACCAGTCTTCCTGTGATGTGATCTGTGCTTGCGAGGAAGGATATACAGGAAAGTGGTGTAAAGAACAAGCGACTAAGGTGGGACCTCGGACTGGCAATAACACACAACCAGTTCCCCCTATAGGGAAACCATGGGAATCTCCAGCACATTCCGCACCTAAAGGTCCAACGAAGCGACCATTGATGATATTAGGGACATTCAGACCACGGAATGGAAACAAAAAGAGTCCTCCGTTCATATTTCCTATGATGCCAGCTAATCCGCCATCAAACAAACAACCACAACGTAGTGACGATATAGCAGAAAGGGAGGAAACAAAGGCGATTAATAACTCTTCAAATAATGTTAAATCGAACGCTAGACAACTTGTCTTACCAAACAGCACTACTATGACAATCATACGTACAAAGTTGGAAGATATGGACAATGTAACGAGCATTGATATTGAATCTGCCAACTCCGCAATAAAGGAGCTGCCTAACAAAGACACAATCCCAACCACTAGTGTTGACGAACTCGTTCATCCAACAGAATCCGTGATTACCTCACCCGGGACGCTGGACAGTACTCAAGGAGAAGTTTTGTCTACTGTTGAACCAATGTCATCACAAAGGGTTTGTGAGGAGTCTTGTCACACTGGCAAGTGTTTATTTAACGGCGGGGAATACAGATGTGTTAAGGAGTCAGCACCGATTATCATGGCGACCATTGAGAACGCCTCGATGGCGGCGAGAGGAGAGTGCGGTAAAGGCTTTAAGTGTAGACATGGCGTCTGTGACCCTGATCAACTCCGCAAGGGACGGATTAAGTGTATCTGTGACAAGGGGTGGATTGGTACTCTGTGTGAGCATGCCTGTGAACTGGACTGCGGGGAGCATGGTATGTGTGGCCATCCGGACAAAAACAAAACCTCCATGGTGTGTTTGTGCAATACTGGCTACGATGGAGACAGATGTCAGGATGTAAAAATCCTTCCAGAGTTCAACAAAGGTAATGTGTTTGTAAATTTTATTTATGGCAAGCTTCAAACTAAATTCCACCATTTATTTTCCCGAATTGTTGTATTCATCACGTTTTGTTGCTTTCTACGTTATAACTTAATCAATCACTTTACATAATCATTTTTTTTCTGTTTGTAAATCTATATAAAACACTATCCTATTGTCCACTATATATATTGTAAACAACACTATCACACATACATAGGCAATAGCAATTCTTCAAAATTACTGTTACTTTTAAACATTTATTTTGTCATTTTATTTCGAATAAATGCACATCGAACCTAAGTGCGATTTTTTGGCTGAGGCTAAGGATATTTAAAAATGAAATTGTATAAAAAGCGCGCAATTGTTTGTTTCCATCTGTAATGACTCCCATTATCCGAGTGTTGTTCATAATAAAACAATTTCTTCACCACTTGCATTTACTGAAATAACAAGTTTAAAATAAAAGTGGTGAAATTTAAAATTGGTTTGCTCATATTCATTGATAATGTAATATCACGCACATACTTTGAACGACAATAGTAGTTGAAACATGCATTATATGTTCTAGAGATGTTGCTATCTATACAAGCTGTTTGTGCATCAGCATTTTTGAGTTATGGACAATTTAAAGCACCAATTTATCAATGGATGATTTATATGAGTCCAAAACAGAGCTTACATTGATATCCCTAATGCGTTGTAGATATTTTTGTTGTTTGATATGATTCTTGCTTAAAAAAATATGCTTGCCATAACATCAGTTGTTAGTTTAAAACATCCATGCATCTATAAATAGTTTAGAACGTTATTCAAGCAATCTGAGCCAACAATATTCAAATGTCATCAAAACTTATCGAAACTTAAGTCGACTTATGCCGAATGATTCGTTGAATGCTAAAAATAAAAACATCAATAAGGACATGAACAAGTCAGCACCTCTGGAATTTTAAAAGAGGTGAAAGAAAATAGTTGACAAATCCTACCATAAATATTTGTCTGTCAAAAATCAAACTTATTTGTATAAACTTTTAGCTTCTCTTGTTATTTATCATCTACAGTTTCTAATAAGATTGTATGTTAAAAAAATCCTAGAAATGATCATTGAGTTAATTTAACAAATTAAAACACAGAAGTTATAATACCACTCCAAATAGTAAACCTAAGGACATGTATTCCTTATATCAAAAACCAAATAGTCAAAACCCGAATTTTTAAATTGGCGAATTTCTCTATATTTATCGTTCAAAAATGCGAGTAAAAACAAACACATCAATTTGACTTTAAACACAAATATCCAGTATGAGATAACGATTGTTGACTCCAGTACACACAAGGCTTGTCTCGGCTGGCTTGTTTGGATACGAGAATACATCATCAGACTCCATCTCTGTTACACTCCATCACGATACAGGACCACACCTTATTTAGACTTGGTGACACGCATCAGTAACCTTCCATCTTTAGCTTTAAGAAATGAAAGAAAGTAATTATAATTCATGACAGATGTTTATTCGCTGTGGCTAATAAAAAAAAAAGAAAAAAAAGTATATCATAGTCTAAAGTAATAACATTTGAATGGCACCGTCACACGCAGGCGCGAATGATAAATATACCAAGAATAATTCTTTCTATATTTACTGCTGCTTTATTTGTTAATATGTAAATTAATGTCATAGGTAAAATAATGTATACAGTATCTTTTTTCGTAACTGACACCATTACAAATATGTTTGTCGAATCCTAAATTGCGTCGATGAATTTACGTACACAGTACAAAACCAAGAATCATGAAGATAAGGTCAATCTATCACAGAGGTAATAAATATGTCACTGGACATACACAACAACTCCTACATATTGTCTCTATCAAACCTGTCACTAATTACTTACCTACAGTATAGAGCCTCTATCACACAAACCACTTATTGTTTACCGGCTGTTTGTCATCTGTGTTATACATAACACATAATATTTACCAAGTGTATGAGGTCTGTTATACATATGTAACTGTACTTTTTCTAAATTACCTGCTGTATTATTGTTTCAATCGTACATATCACTTATTTCAACCTCCTGTAACACAAAAACATTTGTTCCACTTTTTGCTTACCTACTGTAAAGATATTTATGAATTGCTTATACAAACATCTCATACAACCACTCATTTACATTGTTGAACAATCACTTTAAATTACACCCAATCCCTAGTCGGGACCCAAAATAACTTCATTTCCTTTTTGCATGAAACTAGCTAAATCAGATTCAAAAACAAAAATATTTTTCAAGAAGTTAAAGCTTTTTAATTTTACATGGAAATAAGAAAAAAATATCAGCGCGAAATCAATTTTAAAAATAGGAGACGAAACGTGAAAATTAATACCACATTTGTCTTTTTGAGAAATTAACGGCATTGTTATAAAATAGGCAACTTTTAGTAATTGTATTAAATAACCCATAGCCATATTGCTTTAGAAATAGCTACTTTACATACTCTAAACACAGAAGAGTCGAATGCTTAGAGAGCTATCCTTTTTGTTCCCATATTCCTTGTGTTAATTAATACTGTAAGAACATATTTTAGGGCATATTTCTGATTTTGCGAGTTTTTGTATTGCATTTAGTGACAGTGTGCCAATTCATCAATGCGCAAATCAGTTCGAATTCGTTAGCACTCTAAAATCTGTGTCCGTTAAAGTAAGTTCTCTTACAGTAAGTCATTATTCCAAAGAAACTAGAAAGGAACAGAATGTTGTCATTATATGTCATTATGCATAATGTATAATTATAGCACCCAACTAACACACAAACACTGGGTACATTAGCTGTCATATCTTCATAACTGAATTACGACAATATTTGTACATATGTTTAATGTATAGTATTACTTCAGCGTTTGATATAAATTTTTCACTAAAGCCTTGTTTCTAAATAAAACCCGACAATGATTAATCGAAATTTTCATTTAAAAATAGGTTACACAATGCCAATGTGTTTAACTAATTTCAAAAAGAGACATATGTCACCAAGTTTCTTCATTAAAGGTGATATAAAACGCGCGGTGGTGGTAATTATCATGGGTATGCTTTTTATACAAATAAAATCATGCTAATGACACTGTACTTAAATTACATGGCATACTAAATATGTTCTGATATCACAGAGAATTGTATCCGTACAATCAATGTTTTAATGATGGTCAGTTAGAAAATAGTGGTCAGTATTGGAACAGTCGTTAGTAAAACAACAATGGTCAGTAAAGTATTCAATAAAACAACAGTTTTTCAGTAAGATTATACTCTTTAAAAACACATGTTTTCAGCAAGATGTTAAATAAAATAACACTGTAAAAAAAATTCATATGTAAAGGAAGAAAAATAAAATAAGATAACGGCAATTAAAGATGGCTCGGAGAAAAGCACCTGCTAATCAACACGAAATAATTTACGCCCAGCCATCTCATCTACGTGGATGATACTTATTCAAATAAAGGCCTCTCATACAAATGTACCAAGTGATATATGGTTAGCTCTATTCTGGTCATGCTCCAGAACTCCGAACGTAACATTATCAAATGAATAGAACATGCGCTTTAATAGAACGTGCGCTTTAATAGAACATGCGCTTTAATAGAATATGCGCTTTAATAAATGAAGCGTTTAAAGTCATCTTGGGCTCGGTTGTAATAGTATATCAATGCTAATTTACGACGAATTCGCATTAGCTATGTGTTTATCAATTATAAGACATTAAAGAAAAAGGTATATATGTTCCCATTTTTTTTTTATGTAATCCTACCATTTTGATAAAGAATTGTAATCTACTTAGTCAATGGCGAATACTTTATATTGTGTGTTTAAGTAATTTACTACGTGTATGTTGCAAACAAATTTTGAGCGATACAATTGTTGTCTTGATAAATTGTTTCAAGCGTAATATCTAATAAATAGTTCATGCTTATTGACATTGGTGTAACACAGTTTTAGTTATCTGTGATGAGCTTTTCACTACAAGCAGACAAATAATATTCTTTAAGACACCAAGTCTATTTTTACACTCATCACGGTATTACAATATTAGATCAACATTATTACTTTTTCCTCCTAACCGTTCTTTACTTTTTCACTTCTTTGTTGTCCTATGTTCACTTTTTTATTCTATTTCTGCGGGTATCCGCTCACTTTTGGCATTGTTTTTATTTCGAAAACAATAAGGTTACTTCAGAAAAAATAAGATCTTTCCATTAACACTTAACGAGAAACAAAATTTAAAAAAAAGTAACTTTATATGAATTAATTTTAAGACATCTTTGTATTTAGTGGAATTCTACAGTTCAAAGTTAATCTTATTATGCATTTATTCCATTATCTAGGGGGGAGGGGCAATATGTATCTCCCTGTGTAGCTACTATTTACGTTGAAAAGCATTAAAACTGTTACTCTACCCTCTGTTGAAATCAAATAGTCAACATTCCACGCACAAAAATGTCGTTGTCAATGAAACATAATCGGACCTATTGATTGTGGGATTTCCAAGTGTTTGAAAACGCAATCAAATTCCTTATGCATAGGCATTTCCGTATCGCAAAACAAACATGAAACGTGCTTTTAAAATTTCAGACGAAAGTGGTAACCAATTTTTTAAAATGACATGTAACTTACATTAATTATATAATTTAATATTTTGTAGCTATGTTTTGCCTCCCATGCTCCTACTCTTTGGTTCTTCAATAAATCATTTGTAACCTATGAGTCTTGTACTGTTTAGTTTTAGTTTAACCTATGTTTACCCATGCATCCGGTACTATGAGTGTGAACATGTTGTATCGACTAGATATGTATGTTTAAAATGTAGATCCTGTTTTATTCAGTTGTTATATAACCTATTTTAACCCTTTGAATACTGTGAGGTTTGCGTTTTGTATAGCCCATTTTTACCAGTATTTGATTAATTGTTTAGGTGAAATATATACTTTATAAGGTCTATTTTCCATATGTTTGGTATTTATTGTTAAGTTGTGGTATAACCTACTTTCAAGCTGTTTGTTATTTACTCTAAAATTGATGTAAAGCGTATTTTCTAGCTGTTCGTTATTTATTGTTAAGTTGTTGTACAGCCTATTTTTAAGCTTTTTGTTATTCATCACTTTATTGAGGAATAGCCTTTGTACTTGCTGTTTGTTGTTACAGTTAATATCTGGAATGACCTTGTTTCCATGTGTTTTTTTTTTTGTTTGTTTGTTAAGTTGTGGTATTGTATATTTTAAACCTATATGTTATTTTCTATTCAGTTGTTTTATAACTTATATTTGACCTATTCTAGCTTCTAACATGTCCTTAAACTATACTTATAACATAATATTATGTTTGACCTATACTTATAACATATGTTTGACTTATACTTATAACATGTGTTTGACCTATACTTATAACATACGTTTGACCTATACTTACAGATGTGGAGGACCCTTCTGTACATATCTACGTGATAGGTTTTACAATCGGGTTCGTCGTCTTCTTCACGCTCATCCTTATTCTCATCACCTATTGCTTGTGGCGTCGGCGATTCGTCTTCATTATGAAGATCGTACACTATTTTCAACACTATGAGGAAAATGGTGAGATGCTTACACTTCACTTCAACATATCTTTTTGACCAGAAATAGACTTATTCAACAGCATGCCCATCTTATATCAGTTAACTGAAATGTTATGTAAGATAAAGAAATTCAATAAATGACAATAATTTATATAAAATGAAACCCGATACTACTGCAATTATAGAATACTTGACCCTAACTAAATAATATGTGCGCTTTACTCAAAGTTAAGGAACACCCATGTTCTTGATACATGTATGATATCGTTATGATTAGAGGGTTGCCCTTTCCATTTAGTTTAAGTTCCTAGTCTATCCGTTTTGAAATATAGCTCTTGTTGGTTGTAGATGGACAAATCTATGACGCATTCGTTTCCTACAAATCTTCCAAAGAGGACGAACATTTCGTTCTTACAAAGCTTTACCCAAAGCTGGAGATGGAATTGGGATTCAAGATGTGCATGCATTTCCGAGACTTTACGCCTGGTGAAGGTACGTATAGGTTTATATACGCTATTTTAAATCCATTCTGAAAAAGTTTAATGTGGCTTTTCGATTTATTTAAGCATTGAACTGCTTTCAGTTGGCATTCATTGGCAATAAGAATGCCCACTTGACATAGGTTAATTGAATGAAGCGCATTGAATTACACTTATTATTATTCAGCATTTAGTTCAAATAATGTATGTATCGTTTATGCTTGTTCAATGAATAGAGCAGCCATCACCAAGGTGGGGTCAGTGGTAACCAACTTAACATTTATAATAATGATGACGTCAACAATCTATATGAATGCCAACTGAATTTGGTAGGGTTATACATGTATAGTGGCAATGCCAAACGATGGTAAATATAGGGAATTGGGTTATGGATCACCCCTCTTCTTCATCTGCATATCTTGACATTAGCTACAGTACGAAAGTAATTGTCACTTCATTACTAACATTTAGGGCAAACCGGAAAACAATTTCAATGAGCAGCCGGGTTTTTCCTCCCAGAGAAGTTTCCATATTTTACTGTCACCCTTATTGCCTGTTTTCTCAACAATCTAACATCAATGTCGTCAATGAATGCAGGCTAAATCTTAGGTCTTTGGTGGTTTGATACATTTTCACGATTCGCCTTCGGTTTGGTTTTCTTTCTCTCTTTTTCTTTTGATTACATTAATCCTAATGTTCTACTGTTAAGGTTTCTGTTGTTTTGTCGTCTTTATATTGATTTTGAAATAAATTCTATTTGGTTCCCGAGTGTTGATTTGATATACGTATACATAAATTCTATTATACTTCCAGCTATCGCCAACAATATAATTTCGGCCATAGAGAGGAGCCGCCGAACTATCATGATCCTTTCTCCCAACTACATCAATAGTGAGTGGTGCCGTATGGAGTACCAGAAGGCTCAGCACGAAATGCTCAAGATGCGACACAAAATCATACCAATAGTTCTAGAGGACGTATCCAAGTGTAAGACAATGGACAAAAACCTTAAGACAATTCTTAGTACTGTGACATACATAGAATGGCCAGGTGAAGAGGATCCTAAAAAGCTAGAGAAATTCTGGAAAAAAATCGAACTTTCGTTACCAAAGAAACGTTCTGGTGAACACTCACCATCCAATAGCGTCGAATCAACGTCGACTAGCTCCTCTACAACGTCCAATGACATTGACGTGTCAAAGAGTAGTTCAGAAGATCCCGCGTCTAACACCATACTTTCTACGATAACAGATTCTGTTAGCATTACTATGGACAAGTGTGATCCGAAGAAGTCTTCACAACAAGGCAGTGATACGCCTGGCAAAGCGCGGAGTGAAACAAGGCTGAAGAAAATGAAAGATGTGTTAAAATTGAAAATAAACAATAACAACAATCGTGCATTATGTCGTGAAATATCTATAGAATCGAACATATCGACCCCGGTCTCCTCCACTCCATCGCCGGGTTTCTTTGGAGGGAAGGACTCAACACCACTATTGTCAAAGAAGTTGCTCAACTGTAAACAGATCAATAAAAGTAGCGCTAAGTCATCTACGTGGTCACATAGGAACCACAATAGGGGTCGCAAGAACTCCCAGACACAGTCGCAATCCTTCACAGAGAAGGACGTCAACCGCCCATGTCTGGACGTGATCCCACAAACACCTACTAGTCCTTCTCCTAACGATGTGGACCTTCCAGACGTATGTCGCACGGCTGGATATTACAACATTGTGTGTGGGGAGAAGACCTCTCCCTCAACCGAGAACGATTTTGCGGGTATGCAACAATGTCCAACATGTATTCTCCGCAAGGATGACGTGGATGCTAACTCTACCATAAACTCACTTGCTGAACAGGTAAAAGGACAACAACAAAATAATTTAGGGAACCCGACTGGCTTGAATATTAGTTTGGATCATATACGGTCTCCGTACCCAACAAGTGTGTATAGTTATGACAATACAGGTGAAAGTGTTGACGTCACAAATACATCAGTGACGTCAAAAGTGATTACAAAATGTTCTACATGTGCACTCAGGGTCAACGTTGACAATGTTTATCAGGAACGAGAAACACAGTTCACCTCGGATTTAAACACTGATGATTCTCTTTCTTCTGGAGAAAGAAGAAATAATACAAATTTCATCAAAGACGTTAATTGTGAATCGGATGAAAAAATATCAAATATCCAACCAAACGAAAATCCATTACTCAACGTTTTGCACCTCCCAATTCAGGGTCGTTATATTCCTAACTTTCATGTCAATAATGCATTTATAGAGAACGAAGAGAACAAACCTCCTATTCCCATCCCACCAATACGTGTTAAAAAGTTACAACGACAGAACTCCAGAGAAAACTTGTAACGATTGTCATTTATCCATGCTTACTTATTTATACAATCATCCAGTTTGTGTCACATAAGAATGGGATATTTTTTAAAAGTAAAAAGTAGACGTGTATTTTTTAAGGAAATTAAGAACACACATTCAATTAGTTGTAAATTTCTGATTTTGCTCTTCAATTGAGAACATTTCTTTATATGATAATGAAGAAAAAAATCCCCTTTCTGCTCAAATGTGTTAAACATTGTAAGTCCCGTTTGTTTTCCGATGTTTTATATCATACATGTTCTTCACTGTTACCCGTGCCTCGGTCGATTACTCACTGATGTTTACCTTTGTAAATACGACCGCAGTCGATGCGCACACTGATGATTGTTACTCTTGTTTGTCAATACGACCTCTATCATATACACAATGATGGCTGTCGGTACAACCTCTGTCATATACACAATGATGGCTTTCGGTACAACCTCTGTCATATACACAATGATGGCTGTCAATAAGACCTCGGACATATACAAAATGATGGCTTTCGGTACAACCTCTGTCATATACACAATGATGGCTGTCGGTACAACCTCTGTCATATACACAATGATGGCTGTCAATATGACCTCAGTCATATACCCATTGTTGGCTGTCAATATGACCTCGGTCATATATAAAATGATGGCTGTCAATATGACCTCTGTTATATATAAAATGGTGGTTGTCAATGTGACCTCAGTCATATACACTATGATTGCTTTCAATATGACCACGTTCATATACACTATGATTGCTTTCAATATGACCTCGGTCATATAAACGATGATGGCTGTCAATATGACCTCGGTCATATACGAAATTAATGGCTGTCAATATGACCTCGGTCATTTACACAACGATAGCTATCAATATGACCTCGGTCGTATACAAAATGATGGCTGTCAATATGACCTCGGTCATCTACACAACGATAGCTGTCAATATGACCTCGGTCATATACAAAATGATGGCTGTCAATATGACCTCGGTGATATACAAAATGATGGTTGTCAATATGACCTCGGTGATATACACAATGATGGTTGTCAATATGACCTCGGTGATATACACAATGATGGTTGTCAATATGACCTCGGTCATATACAAAATGATGACTGTCAATATGACCTCGGTGATATACACAACGATAGCTGTCAATATGACCTCGGTCATATACAAAATGATGGTTGTCAATATGACCTCGGTGATATACACAATGATGGTTGTCAATATGACCTCGGTCGTATACAAAATGATGACTGTCAATATGACCTCGGTGATATACCCAACGATAGCTGTCAATATGACCTCGGTCATATACAAAATGATGACTGTCAATATGACCTCGGTGATATACACAATGATGGTTGTCAATATCCCCTCGGTCATATACACAATGATGGCTGTCGGTACAACCTCTGTCATATACACAATGATGGCTGTCGGTACAACCTCTGTCATATTCACAATGATGGCTGTCAATAAGACCTCGGACATATACACAATGATGGCTGTCGGTACAACCTCTGTCATATACACAATGATGGCTGTCAATATGGTCTCGGTCATATACCCATTGTTGGCTGTCAATATGATCTCGGTCATATACGCAATGATGGCTGTCAATATGACCTCGGTCATATAAACAATGATGGTTGTCGATACGATCCCAGTTATATACACAGTGGTGGCTGTCGATACGACCTCGGTCACATACTTTGATATACAAAGATGGCTGTCAAAACGACCTTTGTTATTTACACAATGATGGCTGTCAATATGACTTTGTTCATATAAAAAGATGGCTATCGATATGACTTTATTCATATATAAATTGATTGCTGTAAATATGACTTCGTTCGTGTTTTAATACATGTAGTCCAACCGTGTACTTTTCCATAATAAAAAATGCATTTTGTGAAAATATTCTGTTTAAATACATGAATAGACAAATTGTTTTCTTCTCTATAACAGAAAAGGGCATTTTGAAAATGTGCATGTATATCAGACAGGCCAAAGAAAGAATAAAAAAAGATAAAAAAAATCTTGGTCGAATCATACGAACAATGAGTAATATGACACATATCCCCCTAATTTCATAATTCTGTTCCTATATCGTAGTCATGTGAAATAACCTTATAGGAAGCGAAACATAAAAATAAGAAACAGTAATGTCTTAATTATGTTAATGCTAAGTTCTTCGGTGCAAAAAAGGGTATATAGATGCTTTATACCTGATATCATAAATGTCATACAGAAGTGTTGAATTCCGGACACGATATGTCGTCCGTGCTACATGCATTGTACCGAGTCATCAGAGTTGCTGACTCATTGAGTGTAGGTATGAAGTCACAGTGAAAACTATGGGCATGATCGTTGACAAAGGATAAAGTCTAACCGTTGAAACTTGTGTGTTACGTATTTCATAATAAAGAATATTTCTGTACGGGTTGAGGAGTTAACCCCTTTCCCATCTACAACATTCAATCAAATACTCATTAGTTTCATTGCCCAGGCGTGATCAGTTAATACATTCCACTGCTTAACCACTCCCCTTTCTCATACCTCACCCATTTACATCTCACCTCTCTGTTACCACACCAACTTAACACTCCCATTCTCTTGTAAAACTAACATGTACCACACCCATGTCTCCTACCACACCAACTCAACTCTCTCATATCACACTCATTGTCCATGCCCCTCTCCCTCCTGTCACACCCATTTACCATGCCCTTCTCCTTCCACACTCCTATATAACTCTTTCCTATCTCCTTTCACTCCCGTTAACCATGCCATTTTCCCTTCCACATCTAGTAACTCCTCCCACTCTCCTGTCACACCTATTTATTTCTTCCTTCTCTCCAGTCACACCTATTAGCAATGACCCTCTCCTTCCACACCTATTGATCTCTTCTCTCTCTCCTTTCACACCTATTTATCATGCTCCTCTCCTTCCACGTCTATTTATCTCTTCCCTCTCTCCTTTCACACCTATTTACCATGCACCTCTCCTTCCACATCTATTTATCTCTTCCCTCTCTCCTTTCATACATACCTATTGACAATGCCCCTCTCCTTCCACTCCTATTCATCTCTTCCCTCTCTCCTTTCACACCTATTTACCATGCTCCTCTCCTTCCACTCATATTATCTCTTCTCTCTCTCCTTTTACACCTATTTACCATGCAACTCTCCTTCCACATCTATTTATCTCTTCCCTCTCTCCTTTCACACCTATTTACAATGCCTCTCTCATTCCGCTTCTATTTATCTCTTCTCCTCTCCTTTCACACCTATTTACCATGCCCTCTCCTTCCACTCCTATTTATCTCGTCCCTCTCTCCTTTCACACTTATTGACAATGCCCCTCTCCTTCCACTCCTATTTATCTCTTCCCCCTCTCTTTTTACACCTATTAACAATGCCTCTCTCCTTCAACATCTATTTATCTCTTCCCTATCTCCTTTCACACCTTACCATGTCTCTGTCCTTCAACATTTATTTATCTCTTCCCCCTCTCTTTTCACACCTATTAACAATGCCCCTCTCCTTCCACTCCTATTTATCTCTTCCCTCTCTCCTTTCACACCTATTTACCATGCACCTCTCCTTCCACATCTATTTATCTCTTCCCTCTCTCCTTTCACACCTATTTACAATGCCTCTCTCATTCCGCTTCTATTTATCTCTTCTCCTCTCCTTTCACACCTATTAACAATGCCTCTCTCCTTCCACTTCTATTTATCTCTTCTCCTCTCCTTTCACACCTATTTACCATGCCCTTTCCTTCCACTCCTATTTATCTCTTCCCCCTCTCTTTTTACACCTATTAACAATGCCTCTCTCCTTCAACATCTATTTATCTCTTCCCTATCTCCTTTCACACCTTACCATGTCTCTGTCCTTCAACATTTATTTATCTCTTCCCCCTCTCTTTTCACACCTATTAACAATGCCCCTCTCCTTCCACTCCTATTTATCTCTTCCCTCTCTCCTTTCACACCTATTAACAATGCCTCTCTCCTTCCGCATCTATTTATCTCTTCACTGTCTCTTTTCACACCTATTAACAATGCCTCTCTCATTCCGCTTCTATTTATCTCTTCTCCTCTCCTTTCACACCTATTAACAATGCCTCTCTCCTTCCACTTCTATTTATCTCTTCTCCTCTCCTTTCACACCTATTTACCATGCCCTTTCCTTCCACTCCTATTTATCTCTTCCCCCTCTCTTTTTACACCTATTAACAATGCCTCTCTCCTTCAACATCTATTTATCTCTTCCCTATCTCCTTTCACACCTTACCATGTCTCTGTCCTTCAACATTTATTTATCTCTTCCCCCTCTCTTTTCACACCTATTAACAATGCCCCTCTCCTTCCACTCCTATTTATCTCTTCCCTCTCTCCTTTCACACCTATTAACAATGCCCCTCTCCTTCCACTCCTATTTATCTCTTCCCTCTCTCCTTTCACACCTATTAACAATGCCTCTCTCCTTCCGCATCTATCTATCTCTTCACTGTCTCTTTTCACACCTATTAACAATGCCTCTCTCCTTCCACATCTACTTATCTCTTCACTGTCTCTTTTCTACTAAATCATTAACCAACCCATTTCACCCAACTCTGCCTTTTACCACCTCATCTCCATTATCAAGCAATTTACACCTGGCAATGACTTTCACTTTTCTTTCACACCAGACGTTTTCATCATTTGAGAGGAACATTAAAAAGGTAAATCGATTTTATTTCATATACAGGTTTAATGCAAATATTATATAGTGTCTGACTGAGATGATTTACTTGTGTGCATGTGTACATATTGTATCATTACCTTATTAATTATCGAATCAAAATAAATGCTGTATTACTAAGTGATATATTGGTCGTCTTTTAATTGATTGTTGGAACTATCCTTATCTTTGATAAAGACAATTGAACGAACTTGTACACTAATTCTGTCACAAAATGGCTTTGAAAAAAAGACATTTTGACACTGAAGGTAGACCAATGGGAGGGGAACGATGGCATCAACAAAGGCCCGTAGCGTTGATACATATGCCATGTCTAGGGGAGGTATAATAATTAAGGATGTAACTTGTGTGGATTTCAAATGGGTTTTGATCAAGATTTGGCCTACTGTCACCTGAGATTTGTATTGGACGTTCGGCTGGTGTAGGTAATTAGAACGACTATTCAATAATACACCTGAACACAAAGGCTTCTCATAGAGTGAAACAATGTCGGACTGTGTGTGGAGCTCTAGGGCGTGCATACATAAATCATCGTAACCACATTACAAATTTGCCAAAGGTGACATACTTTTCAGTGTAACTTTACATGTGTACTTCGTATTCATATTGTGTGCGTTTTCGTTTTCTACGTTCGTCCGTTATAACTGTTAGGTATGTTGGTGTGTAAATACTTAATTAAAAACAATGTTGCTCTACAAACCTGCCCGCGGGAACATGATGACCTTTTTTGCGTCTAGTTCATACACGTTACAAATGATGACATTTAATACAATATATGACGTCAAACATTCTTTTCTTTCCTGAAAACGCAGGATTTTCCTATGGCTACTTGTCTGATTCACACAAAGAGATAAACCTTTAGTGACCACGAACAACATATCATTAAATCAAGTTGCCGTACTACGAATATTTACGAGAAGGTCATATAACCTTACAACGTGACCCTAATCCCTAAGGCACTCATCATATATGAATACAATTATTTCTATTCTTTTATAACGTGACTCTGTATGTGTACGTCATGTGAAATGTGGTACATTTATATATTTCATTTTAGGAAGTAAGATATATAATTTTATCAGTCTATAAAAATGATATTTGTATACATAGTACATCAGTGAAGTATCTACTCAGCTAAATGCTGATCATTTAAAACAAGTTTTGCTCGTGTAATATAACAAAGCTCGCTTCTGTTATCTTACATAGGCTTATTATAATGTGTATGGACAAAAAAACAAAATCTCTGAAGGGCTAATTGAACAGTTACACGACTAGAATAAAACAAAAATGTACTTTTTCAAACGGTAATATTTTAATTCATAGAACACAATATCAAAGTAACCTATTTTGGTGGAAACCTTAAACTTGCAGTTATGAATAGATTCAAATATAGCGTACATTATTTTCGTCTTTATGGCCACTGCATACCACATTTTATTACATTTTTGTCAGTGAAATATCGAATTGAATCAGCTTGATAAAACTTATGTATTTCGCAATGCGACAGATATATAACGTGATATGTCGTAAGGTGTTAAAAATATCCTATTTGACGGGACAGAAACGACGATTCCGTGTAAGCTTTACTTCGTAATGCCTGTGTTGGTCACTTCAGCACTTAACTCCAATGACAACTGGACTTTGACAACAAAATGACAACACTGGCCACTTCACCAATCTCAAAGTCACAACTGTGACTGACAACTTTGATTTCACTATGTGTTTTTTTTCATCAGTAGCAACATATCAGCATACTATTAGAAAGAGTTTCCATTTTTTACCCATAGATAGTTCAATCTACGCTGAAGAAATTTTGTAAGTTTCAAACAGCGGCATTTAAGTCTCTGTTATATTCGTTTAATTTTGTCTTAAATCATAGACGACCGACATAGCTTCCTGGATTTTACGAGATACATTATGATTGATGCTACATGTTTAAAAAAAACTTCTGATCAAGTGGTTTACCCTCTGGGTATTGATAGGTGTTCATAACGTTTCCCGGTAGATTTGTGTAGAGAAATTGAGATTACAGAAAAAAATAGTCTCGAAAACTACACGGGCAAAAATGATAAATAAAGTGATTCTGCTTATGTTTAAACGTCAAACAATGATTAAGAAACAATCGGAAATACTTTTGATTATGACGATGATAAAGGAATGACGGAGCAAATTGTCGTAATCACAACTGCTGCATTCGTATTCTTGTATAATTGTTTGACTAAACTCTATGTGCATGTCAGCAACATGGAAGTGCTTTGAATTTCATTGTTAGCTAGCCACTTATTGAATTTTTTTTGAGTATTTTTGACCATTAATCACTTCAAAAATGTCTCAATTCTTTTCAATGACCCTAGAATAGTTTAAATGTCTTGTTGTGGAGATATTTTGCTCTGTATCAAAAATGATAATGAGTAGAGACACTTTATATTAAGCTTTATACACCTGGGATAATGTGTTCAAATCTCAAACTGTCATCCGGAAACCTAGTTTATCAGATCAAGTACACCATATTGTATTAAAAGATCTGCAAACCAACTTTTGCCTGAAAAAAAAGTGTTTTCAAAATCGTAATTCTTATACTACGATATCAAAATGGTGTGCATTTTTATCTAATACCACAAAGATTCTTCAAATGTCTCATAATATTTGTTTGTTGAACAACTTAAGACAATAGTGTATTTTGAGGTATATACAAAGGACTTTACCCGCAGAAAATGTTGTGCTTCGAATGACTGATATTGCACGCAGAGGTCATATACAGTATAGATGTATCTGCTTTTGACTAAATCATGACTCACAAATTTCCATAATTTTACACATACACGAAGACATTAAGTAACAGTCGTCACATATTTAGAATTTATCATGGGACGTAAAATAAAGTCTATGATTATTATTTGAAATATAGCTCGTACTCTTTTGTCATTATTAATAATATATCATCTATGTATATATGCACCACTGAGAATATTATCGGTGTTCATGTGTTAAATACGGCGCTTACGTGTGGTATACATATGTATGCATACAGTCGAAATGCATATAAATGAATGCAAATCCAAGGCATTTAATCAATTTTCGTAAATCATATTACATAATAACGAGAAATCGTATCACCTGTGTGAACTTAATAACATCAAAACATGATATTCGTCAAAAAGAAACATCAAAGGTGACTTTTGAAGTCTAGTCATCCGATGAAAAGACAATTTGTCCAGCACAATAAAGATTGTCATGAATATATCCTTAAACATTTATAAATGACAAAATGAATAACAATTTAAATTCTTTTTCAGTTCTACATTAATCAATATCAACATTGTGTTAATTGTGCAGATAACAAATTATAGATATGGTCTTGGGTATTCGGCAACTCCTCATTGAAGGATGAACGCACGCACGCACGCACGCACGCACGCACGCACGCACGCACGCACGCACGCACGCACATCCTCACGCACACACACATGCACGCACACACACACACGCACACACACACACAAGTACACCCCCACGCACATCCGCACGAACACTCGCACGCACACACACGCACACTCCCACGCACATCCTCACGAACACACACACACACACACACGTACGCACACCCCACGCACATCCGCTCGAACACACACACACACGCACTCACACACACACGTACGCACACCCGCACGCACATCCGCACGCACACACACATGCACGCACACACACACTCCCACACATACACACACACACACCCACGTACAACCCCACGCACATCCACTCGAACACACGCACGCACCCCCACCCCCACGCACACACACACTCCCACACACACACACACACACATCCCCACGCACACCCCCACGCACACCCCCACGCACATCCGCTCGAACACACGCACGCACNGTAACACACACACACACACACGCACGCACGCACGCACACACACATACGTACGCACACCCGCACACACATCCGCACGCACACATACATGCACGCACACACACACGCGCACACACACACGCACGCACACCCCACGCATATCCGCACGCACACACACATGCACGCACACACACATGCACGCACACACACACATGCACGCACAGGTGACTGCACCTTTAAAATTTTGTAATTAATACAGTATGCAAAATGTGAATAACTGTTAACAAAAAAATCAATGTGGCCATCAAGGTTACAAAAAAATGCTGAGGACTAAAAAATCCTAAAGTGCGGTCTTAAAACCCTTTAACTAATTAATTTCAAAATTTTGACGAGTACTTCTAAATTTCAAATTAAATATTCAGTGAAGTGCGAATATTACATGTATGTACCATTCAACTTCGTTAAAAAGATAAATTTGGCAATCAAGGTTACAAATAAACTCGAGAACTAAAAATTCACCACCAGAGTTTTAAAACCCAATTATTATTAAATTTCAAACATTTGACGAGTACTGCTTAATTTCAAGTTAAATAATAAGTAAATTCTGTATATAATGAACAGCGCCACAACTACTACTTAAATACGCCGACAGAACAACGACCTCCGTCAGTGAGACGAAACCCTCATGGGTGGAGTCATGTACTGTAGGTGATAAACCCGTCAACCAACCAACCAACCACTGTGGCCATCAAGGTTTATCGTAAAGGATGATATATAAAATATGAACACAGTGTTTAGGAGAATGACTTATGTGAAGCATTTCTGTTTCTTCTGCTGCCCAGAAGTCTTAACCGCCTAAGCGATAGTTCCTTAAACCTTTAGACAAACAAGCGAGAGTTCCACATGAAGAGATTAGTATCAGATACGTTCTGTCGTATTAATGTTCAACAACAGAACGTCTAAATATATATGCACAATAAATAACCAATGTTTTAGCAACGAGTTATGGGCACATCTCATCAATCTCTACAATGTTTCTGAAAGATCACTGGAACCAGACGAAACAGCTGCATGCTACAGACAGACAGGAATTATAATCGGGGAGGCTGCATTTTTAAGAACGCCTATTGGGATTTGCAAATGCAACATTATCAGGGTGTCTCAAGTGTTGAAAATGTTTTCTTTGATAAATTATCATTTTTACCTCTTTAAACATCTCCAGGGTTAGCATTTTAAAACCGAATGGCTATTCGTTGCTTAAGATGTACGCCAAACGGTTAGATATAACATCCTATTTCAATGATTGTGATGGCAAGTGACACGTTCTTATCTGCAGTTAATTGAAAGTAATTATTCTTTAACTTCTCTGGAATAACACAACAAGTTTATAAACGTTCAATATTTATTTCGAACAACATATTAATAAAATTCACATAATTTAACAGTGAACAATTTGAATGAGTTTATTCCAGGATAGTAATAGTTATTGAACAATTAAAAAATTGTATTGTAATAAATAGATTCGAAATATATGTTAACATTTAGAAAAAGAAAAAAACAATCATTTATGGCAAGTAAATCAGTAAAAATTATTATTTTAAGAACATTATCAAATGGTGATATATAGCTAATACTTGATAGCCAATCATGGATTTATTTCTTATGTAAATGTTTATTGATGAATGATATTTAAAGAAAATGTTCAATTGCAATCTATTCATCGTCAGTATCTTCCTCTTCCTCATACTCATCTTCATCGTCAACAGATGCCTCCTGGTACTGTTGGTACTCGGACACCAAGTCGTTCATGTTGGACTCAGCTTCTGTGAACTCCATCTCGTCCATACCCTCACCAGTGTACCAATGCAAGAAAGCCTTACGACGGAACATGGCGGTGAATTGTTCCGATATTCTCTTAAAGATCTCTTGTATAGCAGTCGTGTTGCCGATGAAAGTGCCAGACATTTTGAGTCCTGTGGGTGGAATGTCACACACTGCAGTCTTGACGTTGTTGGGAATCCACTCCACGAAGTAGCTGCTGTTTTTGTTTTGGATATTGAGTAACTGCTCGTCCACTTCTTTCATGGACATGCGGCCTCTAAACATGGCCGCTACAGTTAGGTAGCGACCATGACGGGGATCACAGGCTACCATCATGTTTTTGGCGTCGAACATCTGTTGCGTCAGTTCAGGTACTGAGAGCGCTCGGTACTGCTGGCTTCCCCGAGAGGTCAGGGGAGCAAACCCTGGCATGAAAAAGTGAAGGCGAGGGAAAGGCACCATGTTGACAGCAAGTTTTCGTAGGTCAGCATTCAACTGTCCTGGGAACCTTAAACATGTTGTTATACCAGACATTGTGGCGGACACCAGATGGTTCAAATCACCGTATGTTGGCGTGGTCAGTTTTAAGGTCCGGAAGCAAATATCGTACAAAGCCTCGTTGTCGATACAGAATGTCTCGTCAGTATTCTCAACGAGTTGATGAACTGATAACGTGGCGTTGTAAGGTTCCACAACCGTGTCAGAAACCTGAGGGAAACAAAAATGTCATTAATTCTATGTCAGTGCATTGGGATATGTAGCTAAATATATATATTTCTGGGATACCTTTTCTAGAAATAGTCACCATCTATTCCCAAAGTCTTCCGAATTTAACCGGTGAAATATTTAGGAACGTTGATCACAAACACTAAGGGATATACTGTCGATTTAACTTCAACTGTCTCATTATTTTACACCAATGTTAGAGGAGGCCTTCATACAATTGCACACAACACATCATTATTTCCATGCCAGTGCGAGGTGACAGTATTTAACATGATATAGGCTGTCTATATCAGTATGAGGGAACAGTATTAAATATGTACAGATAAATACCATGTACATATCACGCTTTAACACCTCACACAGATAGGGGATGCAAGACCGAACACTGCATCAAAAAGGTGAGGGTACACTTCACAATAACTTTGGAGACAGTAAAACACTCTACATATACCTTAAAGATAGCAAGACGTTAAACGGACACATACACGACTGCATAACCCTATATAGATACCTAAGAGATGGTAAGACATTACACGGATATAAATGTCTGCATGATACTCTACAGATACCTCAAAGACGGAAAAACATTATTTATATATATATAAATGTCTGCGTTGCTACTCTACAAATACCTCAGAGATGGTAGGACATTACACAGATATAAATGTCTGTATTACACTATACAAATACCTCAGAGATGGTAAGACATTAAACAGATATCTAAATGTCTGCATGAAACTATAAAGATACCCCAGAGATGGTAAAACATTACACAGCTACCTCAGAGATAGTTAAACATTACACAGATATCTAAATGTCTGCATAATACTCTACAAATACCTCAGAGACGGTAAAACATTACACAGATATCTAAATGTCTGCATCACACAAAACAGACACCTCAGAGATGGTAAAACATTATACAAATATCTAAATGTCTGCATGATACTTTACAAATACCTCAGAGACGGTAAAACATTACACAGATATCTAAAGGACTGCATGATTATCTACAGATACGTCAGAGACGGTAAAACATTACACAGATATCTAAGGGACTGCATGATACTCTATAAATACATCAGAGACGGTAAAACGTTACACAGATATCTAAAGGACTGCATGATACTCTATAAATACATCAGAGACGGTAAAACATTACACAAATATCTAAAGGACTGCATGATACTCTACAGATACTTCAGAGACGGTAAAACATTATACAGATATCTAAAGGACTGCATGATAATCTACAAATTCTTCAGAGACGGAAAAACATTACACAGATATCTAAAGGACTGCACGATAATCAACAAATACCTCAGAGACGGTAAAACATTACACAGATATCTAAGGGACTGCATGATACTCTATAAATACATCAGAGACGGTAAAACGTTACACAGATATCTAAAGGACTGCATGATACTCTATAAATACATCAGAGACGGTAAAACATTACACAGATATCTAAGGGACTGCATGATACTCTATAAATACATCAGAGACGGTAAAACGTTACACAGATATCTAAAGGACTGCATGATACTCTATAAATACATCAGAACCGGAAAAACATTACACAGATATCTAAAGGACTGCATGATAATCTAAAAATACCTCAGAGACGGTAAAACATTACACAGATATCTAAAGGACTGCATGATTATCTACAGATACCTCAGAGACGGTAAAACATTACACAGATATCTAAATATCTGCATCACACAAAACAGACACCTCAGAGATGGTAAAACATTATACAAATATCTAAATGTCTGCATGATACTTTACAAATACCTCAGAGACGGTAAAACATTACACTGATATCTAAAGGACTGCATGATAATCTACAGATACTTCAGAGACGGAAAAACATTATACAGATATCTAAAGGACTGCATGATTATCTACAGATACCTCAGAGACGGTAAAACATTACACAGATATCTAAGGGACTGCATGATACTCTATAAATACATCAGAGACGGTAAAACGTTACACAGATATCTAAAGGACTGCATGATACTCTATAAATGCCTCAGAGACGGTAAAACATTACACAGATATCTAAGGGACTGCATGATACTCTATAAATACATCAGAGACGGTAAAACGTTACACAGATATCTAAAGGACTGCATGATACTCTATAAATGCCTCAGAGACGGTAAAACATTACACAGATATCTAAAGGACTGCATGGTAATCTACAAATACTTCAGAGACGGAAAAACATTACACAGATATCTAAAGGACTGCATGGTAATCTACAAATACTTCAGAGACGGAAAAACATAACACAGATATCTAAAGAACTGCATGATAATCTACAAATACCTTAGAGACGGAAAAACATTATACAGATATCTAAAGGACTGCATGATAATCTCCTTATATCTGAGGGATGGAACAACATTATACAGATATCGTGGGTATTTTATGATCTTCTTTTAAAAAATCCCCCAGAATTAGTAAAGCGCTATACATATACATATGTACCTTAGGAACTAATTGGCTCTAAACTGGTATATTAGAGACGGTATAATTATACAAGTACCTTAGGAGACGGCATCACTGAGAATGTGTTCATGATCCTGTCCGGATATTCCTCGCGGATTTTACCGATCAGAAGAGTTCCCATTCCTGACCCAGTACCTCCTCCCAAAGAATGAGCCAATTGGAATCCTTGTAAGCAGTCACATGTTTCACACTCTCGTCGAATCACGTCCATCACAGTTTCCACTAATTCAGCGCCCTCTGTGTAATGACCTTTGGCCCAGTTATTTCCGGCACCTGACTGGCCAAATACGAAGTTGTCTGGCCGGAATAGTTTCCCGAATGCCCCCGATCGAATCGAATCCATAGTCCCAGGTTCGAGGTCCAAAAGAACAGCCCGGGGAACATACTTGCCTCCTTCATAGACGAAGAAAAGTAAAATGTCAGGAAAGCTGTAACTGGATTAGTAAATAACACTGAGGTTGCTCAATAAATCAACTGATTAAAACAAACAACTGTTCACAAATATATATATAAAAAAAAGGAAAAATGTTATTCGAACATATATAGTTGTTTATGAACTAGGTATTTAAATATACATGTATTTTAAAGAAGCTTCAATATGATATATGACTGGCCTATACACTCCTAACTTTACCAATCACTATAGCGGATCTGACATATTGACTACAAAACAAACTTCCAAATACGCTACAGCCTTGTCTTTAACGGTAGGCCTGTCCATAAAGTATTTAAGCTGTCTTTTCCCAAAAAGTACAGTGGCTATTTCTACACAGATTTTGTATCTCATGTGATTCTGCATTGTTCTGTAACAGAAAATCTTCGTGACAATTTATGGTGTATAATTGCCTGCATTTCAAGTATTGAACTCAGTTCATATCTGCATCCACTGCCTGACTATTCAGTAATTCACATTTTACTAGGAGGCCCAATGACCTACAATTTAAATTTAATTGATTTAGAAGAATTTAGACTAGAATCCGTATATGCGATAAAAAGAATGTTTGACTTATATACGTAATAATAATTATTACAATAATGTCTTACAAACACTTGCCTTTTAAATATAAGGAAAATGTAAAAAAAAAAAATCGAACATAGGCAAGGTATTATCAGGGAGGACACATCCCTGGTATTATTAATATTATATATTTTTTTTTTTTTTTTTTTTTTTTACTGGCTACATAAACCAGTATTATATCACTGATATTTAATAATATGTATATACGTTTGTGAACTTGTATGAATGTCACGATTGTTGTCATTTTGTAAATAATGTATTAGTCATGTACTATCATTGTATCATGCTCTCCAATTTGGAGGAAATAAAGATGATATATATAAACTATAACCTACCAAACAAGTTCCGTACTTCCCGTCTATAACGGTAGAACCGAAATAACATTTTTCAATCTGACCTACCAACTAATATAAGTCCGGTACTGGTCTAAATAGTGTGATCTTAGCTTTAATCGCTATCCAGACATATACCGAATACGCCGGGTCCTAACATATCATTTTACCCTGAAATACACATAGCTCTAGGATCTTACATGAGCTGACTCTATAAAGGCCAGAACAAAAATACTCCGATAATAATAGTGTCGTCCTGCGTAGGGCAAAGTAGTTCCAGATTTAAAAATATATATATATATAGTTAAATACAGGTAAATTAAAAAAAACTAATGATAAATTAAACATAGCAAATTCATTCAACAGCAAAGACAATAAAAATTATCAGGAAAAAATGCAATAAGGTGAAATTACTACATGTACCTGTAGTGGCGTAATTATATGTTCCCACGGTTTTGACCAATCGCAGCACCTATAGGTTTTATTACACGAGTGTATTTCAATATTTATGACATGGTCGTATGATGCAGTGGCTGATATGTGCCATTTCGTTGTTTGTAAATGTCATATTTTCGGGGCGAAAATAGGACACAACGAGAATTAAGATTTGTTAATTGTCGTCCTTTCGGGGCGAAGAGACGAAACAACGAAATGGCACATATCAGCCACCGTATAGTATGATATTGTAAAATGGGTCAGTTATGTGATAAGCTTTCTTATAACATACCCTGCTCAGAACTATTAACACGGATTTATGAACTATGGTATCCAGTGGGCAGACTTTCTATACATGGAATAAACGTGTCAACTCACCACATGCCTCACTAAAGTAGACGTTTATCCGCTCCAACTGGACGTCTTTTTCACCGTGGTACATCCCCACAGGATCTATCCCATGTTCGTCAGAGATTACCTCCCAAAACTACAACAAGAAGTTCTCAAAACTAATAAAAAGAACACTCACTGGTAACTACACAACAGCATTTTTCTTTCATCTTTCAGATTAAAACTGTTGAATTTTCATGCACACGTTGGAAATAAAGTGATACACTACAGTGCATCATACCTATCCAATCAAATTATTCAAAAGTTTGTCCATTAGAAAGATAAACAAACATGATTAAAAGACGAAGTAAGATATATTATAAAATCGAACTATACTTTGCAAATACATCCGGATAACTCCCGGGTAAAATACTTGAACATATTTAGAAACTCTCACATTCTCATATTTGTATGCTTCCACAATTCATTTTTTTTTTGGAAATCTTTCTTGATCATTAAACAAATTTTTAAAAAACGAAGATTTAATTTTTCAAATATCCAAGTGTCTCTTGTTTCCCTGTGCGATATTACTGTTGCTTTTGATTTTCTACATTAGTGTTCCTTGTGGTTTCGTTTTTGCTATCCCGGCCATCTCTTTGGGAACTTCGCATACATCTAGGCCTCCACGGCGGGTGTTGTCGATGAAGCAGATGACGCTTACCCTTACGTATTACCTGGTCTTATTGATCACAGGTCACCAACCACATTTCATGCAATAAATACACATACACATCAAATCTCTCCACACAGAAGTTCTTGTTTTATTCAATTTCTACAAGAATTAGACCGATGCTTTTATTGTTTGAAACGAAGCATATGATGAAAGTTGATCATATGAATCGATAATCACGTAACTAACCTTAAACTTTACGAAGCTCGTCATGTAATTTCAAAAGATCATTCGTCGAGATTGGTTTTGTTGCTACTATTTCGATCATTGTTTGTATATAACTGGAAACATCTAGCCTACAGCGTTACACTGTAGTATACTATGTTTATAAGTGATATAAATTACACATGGCGTAAATTGCAAGGCACGTATGGTTAAAGCTGGCTTATAATTTACACGGTCTGTCCACATTCCGATCATAGCCGGCGATGTCGACCCCATACCTACATACATGTATGTAGGTTACGAGAGTTACTAAGAAGATAGATGCAGTTGCGACCCGCACAATGTACAGTGTAACTATGGTAACATTCCTAATATCAGTGTGTCTTGATGGACGGAACTCCGTATGAAGTGATAGTAAAATGAAAGTAAATACTCCTTTGCAAAATTCAAGTAATTTATGAAGTAACTGATTCTTTAATCTTTTTTAATGTGAACCAAAATTAAAACTGGAGTACGATTTAGAAATAGCCACCATGACAGTAAAGAAAGAGGTGAATGGGAAATCATGGCCTAATTCTCCATGTAGATAAGAAAATCTCCAAATTATCTATAATTAGGAAATTATACATATCCAGTATTCAGAAACATATTCAAACATAGAGGTGAAGCACGGTTGTTCAGGGAAAACCCCTCACATTGACGTTACAAGATACTTTGATAGTGCATTAAGATAAAAGATATGCTAAGCTATTTGATAACTATAAAATATGCATTAATATATGTAAAAACACTACTTAAACTCTATATATGTATATGAATGTAGCCATTATAACAGTTTATATGTTACTCAAGTTGTATTATAAATGTAAATGTACTCTTTGTGGTTGTATTTTATATATCTTGAATGTGGTGTCAAGCTAATGGGCTGATTAGTTTATGAATGGTTAGAGATCGAACAACTATTTATCTGAACGTCTTGGTAAGTGTTGTAAGGATAGAAATTGCTAAGTTGTAAGTACAGTGTGCTGCATTTGCTATGAACGAAAAAAGTTGGTCGATAACTGTTATGAGCAGTTTATCAACAACCATGACCTCACGATATTCTGATCATTAACATAATACGTGTATTCAGCTTATCTGGAAAACTCCCGATTACAACCTTTCATCAGTATGCCATGGTTATCATTGTAAGATTAATGTTCATCATTGTTATTCACTCGTAAGCTGATATATAGCTAATACGACACGGATACGGTCTGTCGCCTAAAATAATGTGCAGAAGACACGTACATTTCGTAATATTGTTTTCCCGGAAACATTACTTTGAGGAAGTAGATTTAATATTACGGCATCAGCCTGTTATGATTTCCGCATCAAATTGAAAATTGGCTTCCCTTCCGAGTGTTGATTGGTTATTATGTTCATCTATCCATAGTAAGTTAGTTTCCAAATTGTAAAAACACCGGAGGTTTTCCGAGAGTCTTGATTAACTGACAAGAGTAAAAATGAACATGGTAATTAACTAGCTAGGAAGAAAACTCCATGAATCTTGACGTCAAAATTCAACTTTATTTGATGCATGACATTAAAGCGCGTTGTGATGTTTTCTTTTTCAAATGAAAGTGCGTCTTTAGGAATAGTATACAGTAAACTTACACACGTCACTGTTCCCTGCATTACGTGCTACACAGATGACTGTGCAATCCTATCGGTACCACATACGTGACACTACCCTCAATGAGTCAATGTGAACATCTCCTGGCTATGTACACCTGTGACTATTCATTTCATTTAGTTGTACACACGTGAACACGACTGCACATTTCAGTTAGTTGTACACACGTGAACACGACTGTACAATTCAGTTAGTTGTGCACACGTGAACACGACTGTACATTTCAGTTAGTTGTACACACGTGAACA